GGGTATGCAAAGATGACTAGCTTCCTTAATCATTCTAAGCTTGTTGTTTATAAACAACTAATTAGAAAATGAAGTTACAAATGCTCATGTAGAGAAAGATACAGCTGCTATGGGAGCACGGAGGAGGGAGTACGCATCTCCTTTGTCTTCTTGCCTTAAAGGACAAACTAAAAACTACTTAGAACAGAAATGATGTTTGTCCTCAGGTGCACTGTGCTGGGATGTATGTCAAATGGTGACACTTTTGAAAACAGTGATTTTATAAATGTATGAGTAACAGGTTAGATATTAAAGAAGACCTTTTGATTTCCTGGCTTTGATGTAAAGTGCTACAGGATTCAGTCCTGCCTCAACTGGTCTTTGCCCGGTTCCATCCTCTGCCCATGCCATTTCCAAGAGGCAACTTTTCTCTCCATCCTTCTCAGGATCTTTTTAGCTTTATTTGATGTAATATTCCTGCTTTACAATTCTCTCATCAGAAATTCCCCATGGAGTCTAATCTAATTTAAATCTCTTCCTCAAAACCTTAATGTTTTTATTTCCCATTAATCAGGAGAGATTGATCGTTAATAACCAACATCCTGTATATTTAACATGATAAGTTTCTCATGCTTTATCTTGTAGTACCTTAGGTAAGCTCCACTATCAGCTCCTCTTCCTTACCCTCTACAAGTTTTCTCCTCTAAACCACCCCGCTACCCAAAAATTAATCCTAAGAAGTAAGGAGCAATGTAGACTTTATTGACATTTTTGTAGAGAGGGCAGGGAAAGATTTCCACTGGATACTTTCCAATGAATCACTTGAAAATATGCTTTAGTCATTTCTCTTCTCTGAAGTCCCTTTTTCCCTTGGGTGGCCACCAAAGGTCCCTTCTTTCATTCTCCTAAAGCACTTAGCCTTGGTGTCCTCTTGTTCTACATTTTGCAGAGAAATTCCACCCTGCCTCAAAACTTGCACATTCTGCTTATCTCCTAGGTCAGTAAAACAAAAGGCCCCATACTTAACAGAACCCATTCTCCTTAGCCAGTTTAGTAATCCTCTTTACTAATTAGAGTGTGTCCTTTGGGATCCTTTTATATTTGAAGAGATAATAGTGAGAAATTTATAAAGCTGATGAAAGACATTAGCTTTTCTACTTGTTCCTCAGTGGGAGAATTGGTCTGAATTACTTAGTTTACCAGTACAGGAAGCAGAAATGTCTCCCTTATTATTCATAGGCGGTTGCTTAAAAATCATGGAGTTAATACATAAATAACATCTGTTTAACAATATTCTGTATTGCTTTAAACTATGAAACATTTCCATAAACTCAAGAGAGTATCCTACTGATTACATGAAGATCAAAGTGAAATATTTTATTAGTGATAGAAGAGGAAAGTAGAATTTTGGATGGGAATGCATTTTTCTTTTTACTGTAAATATAAACTATGATAATACAAATGAGCAATTCCTATAAAAATAAAGTTTCAGATGTCTTATAAGTTTCCTTTGGTATCAACTCTTTACAAGACATTAATAAATCTGATTTTCTCATTATAATTATTTTTCTGTTGAAGTAGGCATGAACCTAATGGCGTACATCAAACAAAATCATTCTTTTTTAGAAAAAAGAAAAGAAAAGAATTTTCAACACCAACACCTAACTCATCTCTACCCCCTTTTAATAGGAATCTATGTTTTGTGGACAGATGGGTTTTGTTATTTGCAGTGTGTGTGTCTTAGGGACCTGTAAAAATTGGACAGGATTAGAGAGAGTTGTGTCAGTAAGAGTGGGAAAAGCCTGTGCCTTTTTTTTTTTTTTAGACCAAATAGTATTTTCATACTCTTGGTGAGTTTCAAAATTTATTTGCCCCATTGATATAACCCAGTAAAATCCTGAGCATAAATATATCTTGTTGAATAGTTACAAAACTGGGTATGAGGTTTTGTACTTGAAAATGCCTTAATGAAGAAGAGGTTAGATTTCAGATGAACCCTGCACAAAGCTGTATTGTTGCCCTTGGCATTTTGTACATCTGATTGTTTTGTGATGATCTTATCTCACTGAAAGCTGTAAATACAAACTACCAGTTTCACAAATTGGTCATAAATCTCTTGAAAGCTTTTGTAGTTGCATAGGCAGAAAGAAACCGAGAGAGAAAACTTCGTACCTCTTTTAAACTACATTGTATTGTTTTATCAAGGAATTGTAGAAAATGAAGAACTATTCTGCTACAAATTAGATGTGGCACAGAAAACTAGGGCAACACTTACTTTTAGAAATATCAAGTGTTACTCACTGTTTTAGAATTAATTACATAATTATCCAGCAGAACACAAAGATCCCAGGGCACCTTAATGGAAACACTACACTTCCAAATAAAATAATAATAATTAGCACCTACAATATTCAAAGTGCTTTATTAGTTATAATTTTTTAATTCCCCACATCTTTGTGTGTAAATAAACATCATCAGGAATAGTAATCTTTTTTATAGTTTAGAAATAAGAAAACTAAGGCAGAGAAATTGATTTGAATGATAAATTAAGCATTATGGTCTTGAATCCTTTAAAGAGGCAGGTATTCAATAGGAATGATAGATGTTAGTAGAGAACAAAAATAGCTCTTATGACTATTCATAAATTACTAGGTAGTAATTAATTAAAAATATCATCTTTCTTTCAAGCCCAGTGATCAAATCAATTTAATTTTTTTAAAGAATTGCATGGCATCCTTGAGACTATTGAAAATGCCTGAGATGTGATAGAAGTGACTTCACAGTCACCATTCTAGATATGTGGTAGCAACATGAAGTTGTATGGCTTTGAAACTATTGGAGTGGAGGTTGAAGAAAATAATAAATTGAATGTTACAAATTCTCTTTAGGCTGTAAATCCAGGTATACAAACAGTATCAGTTTATTAAGATGGGCATGAAAAGTGTGAGTGGAAGCTATGAGCCTCCAGGACACTTCATGCCCCTTTGTAAGACCATAATGACTAAAATGAAAACTACCATTGGAATGGACTGTTATAGAGCCAAGGAAAGTGAACATGATCCCTAAAACACTGTAGCAAAAAGGCAAGGTGAAACATAGCTCATCAGGCACAAGTCATAAGGCCCACAAGGGAAAGGGAGATGTTCTCTGATAGAGCATTCCAGAACTGCAGACTCACAGGACAGAGAAAAGCTATGATTAATGCCCATTTGGGGAGAATCTGAGGTGGAAGGAAGCCAGCCAGCTAAACTTCATTAGGGGAGATAAGTAAGACAAATAGTGACCTTGTGATCCTTTGAAAGGGTTGTACTACAGGGCCATTTGAGCAAAAGAATGAACACATTCTAGCCTGATTCTTTGTTGCTGATCTGAAATGGTTGGAGATGGAGAAAGGAAAGTGGTTTGAGGTTTCATCACAGAAATATTGGTGGTATGTGGATGGCAGACATTTAGTTCAGCTACCTATTTATGTTATTGAGTTTATTTTACTTGGTGAGAATCTTTTTATCTGATGGCATCCATTGCCTGAGATAATTGATGCACAATACATAAGCACATTCTGAATTCATTTGGGTAGTAGAGTTTAATTGCAAGGAATAAAATATTTGTCCTTAGGATAATTTGCTCCCAAAGTTGGGATCTTTCACTACTAAGTGATGAAGATGTTTCATCTTCCCGCAGACTGTTGGCAAAATTCTCCACTATCTCATATGGCCCCTTAGTTGAGGGCTGGGGACTTGTGAGAACTGTGGAAACAATTTGCTCATTATCCACCTATCCTTGAGACATTGAAACCCAAGCTTCCATTTGAATTAAACTTGTAGTCAACAGGCAATAAGTTTTTCTTTGACACTACACTGTTCAAAGGGATTACTGATACTTACGCCTAAGAATCAAAGAAATAAAAGACTATGCCATAAAAGGGCCAAACTTTCCACTAGATACACAAACAGACCATAGCGTCTCATTCTAATATAGCCATTAACGTAAAGATGGTTTAGAAAACTTTCTACATTTATATCTAAATAAAAATAAATATTGAAATTCAGTTGGTATATCAAATCTACTTAAAATTCAAATTTCTCACCCACCTAAGTGATGTATTTTATCTTTCAGTTTTGAACTGGTGAAGGTGCATTTAAAACATATGTGTACGAATGCTATGTTTTTGCATTTTTAAGGATGGAGAGAAAGCATAGCATTTTATCAATAGTGTGAAACAGAGGGGCCCTTTGCAACTTTATTTAATGTTTTATTGTTCTTTGTTTCTGTTAGGAAAGTGCTTTGAAAAAGTCTAATAAAAATACATATATATAAGCTGTGCCATACTAGGGAAAATTCAGACCAAACAAATTGTGGCCAGTTAAATCTATCTTTTCATAGAACTGAGAAAAACAAATGCTTTTCCTCTGCTGCCCCAGCACCCTCTAGATCTTCTTTTACGGGCTGCATGCCATTCTTTCCCTTTGCCTTTCCTGACTATTGTAATTTAGGTGCACTCCTTTGCCAGCCTTACGGTGAATGGCTTCTTGCTTTTTTCTTCCTCTTCCCTACTTATTTTTCCTCTCTGAATACATTTCACAGACGACCGTCTTCCAAAATAACAACATCAATTAATTTTTTAACTATAAAAAAATCATCCTTAGCCCTGAGTCTGCCCTCTGCATTGATGTGCAGTGCGTGGAAGAGGCTGTGCAGGGGCTGATAAGCCCCATTCCTGAAGTCTCTTCAGCGGGAGGCGAGGCTCGAGAAGTGCTCGCAGACGGGGCTGTTTATTCAGCCAGCCCAAGCTCTGCTCTAGGCAGGTTGACAGTTGACCCACCCATATCACAGGGCTCTGAAACCAAGCAGGGGGACAGCCACGGAGGCACAGGAAGCAGCTCCACTTCTGTGCCTGTGACTGGAAGTTGTTCTTTGTTGTTTCGTTGTTTGTTTGTTTTGAATAGACGGTAGTTTTTCCCTCGAAGGCTCATTCAGTTAACTGTTATAGTTTCTCACCACACTCTTTTCCCCTTTTGCAGAATCCAATGATCTCCGTGGGGACCCTGCACTCAGCCATCCAACTGCTCCTGCCTCCCAGGATGCTCATAATTCAATAGTAGATGCAGGTGGCATTGAAAGCATCACCCAGTGTCCCCAGCAGCTTCCTCAGATGATGGCTGCAGGTAAATGTCGGTGGCCAGCACAGGACACAAACAAGGCATTTTGAGTTCTTAGTGGAAAAGCTTGCCCAGATGTGAAAGCATGTATTGAACTGGCAGCCTGGGGTCCTCAAAGAAATCAGGCCATGGAACTAGTGACTATCAGAGAGCATTAAGTCAAATTTGACATGTTTTGCTGGTTTTTGGTTTTTTTTATAGCTCTGTGCTATTTGTTTTTAATATTATTTATTTGTTTTTATGAAAGTCTGTGCTTATAAGAAATATTTTGGAATGTCATTTTAGTCAGACACCTGCATTTCCTTAATGTGATGATGTCAAAAGTTTGTTGTAAGGGAGGGAATATGTTACAAAGTAACACTTAATAAATTCAGTCAGGACCAGTCTGACTACTTGACAGTTGTTTTTAGAGATTCTCTTAATTACTCTCAGAAACAGTTGAATATATTTATTCTTTGTCTACTAAGCCAATTGAGTTGTTTTACCAAGAGAGTATTCCCGCTTTGCCTCTCAACCTTGGAGCTTAACTAAGGTTGTTTCACTGGGAGGAGAAAGCGGTTCTTTAGTTTTTTCCAGGGGTACTTCCTTAATGGCATGCTGTGTATAATATAAAGTACATGTCATTAAGTTTCCTCCCAGAGTGTATTCGGAAACTCTGTTTACGTCTGGAGAAAACATTGCTGTAGATTACAGTGCTTTATTTTTTCGTGGTTTGAGAATGTGCTAAATGAAGCCTCACATCTCTAGAAATGTGATTTCCTTTCAAACAAACACCCTTGCCTATTGACTCTAAGTCGTCGTTTGTTTTTCTCTGCAGCAGCCGATGGTTTGGGGAGTATAGCGATAGACACGACCCAGCTCAACATGTCGGTGACAGATCCCACAGCCTGGGCCACCGCCATGAATAACTTGGGCATGGTTCCTGTGGGGTTGCCTGGACAGCAGCTTGTGTCTGGTAAGCTTTCTCCTGGGTTTGAAGATGCTGGCAGCAGTGCCAAGGGGTGTGGGTGACAGGTGCCCAGTAATCTGTCTGCCCGCAAGTGTTGGGCATGCTCTGTGATTTATGACTGGGGCATGTTTGGCAGGTTGTACTTGAGATTCTTTTCCTCATCACCTTGCTCTCCTGCCTGATATCTGTTCTCAGCAAAAAGCCATACGCAGTATCCATCATCTGTAGCGCTACAACATCAATTTCATATTTTAACTTGGTAACTGGAAGGGCTAATATTTGCCTTCCAATTTGCAAAAGTCCTTCACGTACATTATGCCGTTTAATCCCAGTCGTCTCTTTGAGATAGGTAGTTACTTGTTGTTGCTGCTCTCGTTAATGTTTCCATTTTAAAAAACAGAGAAACAGAGGACCAGAGTTTAGGTGACTTTTCCAGCATCGAAGTAGCAGACCTAGAAAACCAGCTCAACTGACTAAATTCCATATTTTCTTTCCAGTACACTTTGGAATCATAATACAATGTGTTCAATAGGGAAAATGTTTAGAAATGTCACAAAGTAGAAGGTCATTTAAAAGATTTCATCATTTATTTTAATACATGTTTATTGAGAATTTTCGTGTGGCCTGTGACAAGTTCTTTGGGAAATAGAATAAATGTATACATATGTAAGTGTCCTTGAGGACCATGTCTCCTTAAATTGAAAAAAAAAGAAAGCAATGAAAGTAATGTGTGGAATCAGGTTTGAAGTAGTGGTGCAGGCTAGTAATGTAGTCATTTCCTGAAGGATCAATCACTGGGGCTCTGAGAGAAGATATAGGGAGGTGGGGCTTGAGCTGTGTGGAAAGATACATAGGACTTGCAACATTCACTCACTCGCTCACTCGCTCACTCATTTGTTCATTCAACAAATATTCATTAGGCACTGTCCAGGTGCAAGGGCTCCAGCAGTCAAAAAAAAACCAGACAGTGTCCTTGCCCTCCCAGAATTTGCAATGCAGAGGTGACAGTCAGTTATTATATCACAATCATTGTTATAATGTCAGAAGAACAATTCACTTTTGCCCATCAAGTTAGATGGGGGTAGATGGTATGCACTAAGTAGAAACCAATTGTCTTTGGAGAGTTGCTGAGTTCTGCACCCACAGACCTGTGGACTTTGTGCTGAGTTGAGCAAGGATTTGTTTGTTTATTTGTCAATAGCAGCCATAGATATAAAATTCTAAGCTAGCAGTAGTAAATTTTATATGTGTGTGTGCATGTGCACATGTGTACCTATATACATACATATATGTGTATACACACATACATACATATATAAATAAATATCTGGTTTCTTTTTTAATATAACAAGAAAGAACTTGAGAGAGGACAGAAGACAAGGGAAAGTGGGCGACAGAAAAAGAAAAGTCAAAGATTGAGTTATAAAACATTATACTTAAGATATTTATAAAATTCTGCAAAATGCTATAAAATCCGTACAATTGAAGATTAGTCTGAGGCGAGATGTGTGTGTATGTACATAAATGACATTTTCTGTGGTCTGAACTTGTGTTTATCCAGACCGTTTTTCCCTAAAGCTGATCTAGACAGATGCTTCTTTCTAGTAACTTGAAAGTAAAGACTTGTATTTTTCCACTCAAATTTTCCCAACTGCCTAATTGAAATATTCATATAGCCGAAATTACTCTTGTCTCCACCTCTAACTTCTCTCAGAAAATGTTGTGTGACTTCCAGAGTAAGCTGCAACCTCAATAATTCATTATTTTTTCTTAGGATTCTGAGTCTTCTGACATTTTAACCATGACCGATTTATGATTTTCGCAGCAACTTACCATGACAAGAATTACAGTCCTACTCGTTATAGGAGATTTACCGTATCTACCCTGAATTACGTTCTCTGTCTCCTATATTAGCCAAACTGCTTAAACTGTTTCTGAGCCTTCCAGGGTCTTCTTGGGCATCCCTTCTTCATTTTCCCAGTCTGCCGATTGAACTGAACTCACTTTGTTCTCAGGGCCACTAGCCGAAGCTACTCATTGACATTATGTTCAGGGTCAGGTTCTGTTTTATTTGGTTAGCGTTTATGTATTTTCTTCCAGTCTTTCCTCTATGCAAACATTTTAACCATATTAAATATAAAATTTTCTATTATGCATTTTTGTTAATATCGTATCGGAAATTATTTTTCTATTTTATAGTTTAATATTTTAAAAAATTTAAATAATCCATTGAATAAATCTTCCTCAGTTTATTTAACTGTTCTGGTGTTTACATTTAGGCTGTTTCCATTTTTTCACTCCTATTAGCCCAGTTTCTTTGGAGAACTTAATCTCTTCAAGCATGTAAAAGCATTTTACCTTCTCTGTAAAAGGATGATTGTATCTCTTTCATGGGACTGTTGTGAGATTTAAATATAACTTACATAAAATAGCTGCATTGTACTTGAGCATAGTAAGTATGTATTAAATATTACTCTTATTTCTTCTTCCTTTTTGCTCTTTTATTTAACAAATAATATTACATTGAACATTTTTATGCATAGAGCTTTTCAGCAATTAGAATTATTTCCTTCAGATAGACTACTATGTGTAGAATTAGCAGGTCAAAAGAAATGAACGTTTTAGAGTTTCTTGTTAAGTACTGGACAATTAATTTCCAATATATACATATGTATTTACTGTTTACCAGTTAGATATGCAAAGATGGCATCCTATTTTTTTTCCTTAAATTCTTTTATAACTACCCTTTGAAAGTTATTTCCCTTCTCCCCCTTCATTTTCTATTCATAGTTCTTCTTTTGTAAATAGATTATTTTTATACTGAATCCATTTATCAGATAATGTTCTTGGTGATTTTTTTTATTGGTTTATGTTTGGTCATTAATTGTTAAGTAAGCATTTTGATCTTTGGCATTCCTATTTCCTAAAAATATTTATCCAGTCTGTCTTTTGCCTCTAAATGTCTGTTTATTTTTTTAAAAAAGTTATGTTTAACTTTTCCTCTGTGAGTTCTTTATTCTATTTCTAAATACAGAACGGTTTTCACACTCTAGAAGCTGATATGTATTCCCAATTTTCCTTGCCTCCATTGATTTACTTCCTTCTTTTATCAGAAAATCAATTCTTATGTATATTTTTCTCCATTTCTGAAATATCTATTTTGTACTACTAATCTACTTTATTCCAGCAACACATTGTTTCAGTTCTTACAGCTCTATAGTATATTTACATGAAGTATCTTAGACTCTTTTTACTGTACCTAATGTGTAGTGTATTTGTTTCTTCCCAACATAGTCAGCCACAGAATGTTGCTTTCACTCAGTTTTCATGCCAGCCGCCTCTGGAATTCTTCAGTGTGGCTGTAGAATGTTAGAGGCAGTCTTTAATGTCTCAGAAGGGATTTAAAGATTATTTAGTGTAACCTTCCTTCCAAGAAATCTCCTCTAAAACATCTCTGACAGGATTATGGAGAGGCTGGATTTTATGAGCACTTGGCTTTCTCCCAAAGTTTCTGATATTTCTAAATGGCCAACTACTCTTCCCATATTTGTTAAAATTAAACTGACACTAAATCCCATTCCTTACTACTTCTTCTATTTATTGAGAGATTAAAATTATCAGCAAAGCAAGGCACACATTTTTCATATCCTCTGATTTTATCAAAGGGGTTTCCCAGGAAATCAATCACTCATTACTCTCACATCGTGCCTTTCTGATGTGTGTTGTGAGCTCCCACAATTACGCCTCTTTCCTTTTTCTCCCCTTTTATTATCACCCCGATGTTCCCCAGCACGATCCCATTCCCACTTTGGTGAACTTCCCTGTCTACCCTCTTCATATGAAGTGCTGCTGAGGCCATTACATTGCACTTGTTTCTTTTATCCAAAACACACCATTATGTTGTTCTACTCCAGCCCTAAATTCCTACTCCAGTGTCTTGGTTTATCTGTGAGATAATATTTACCTGCTTATGTTACTGTTTCATGTTTATTTTACTCCCCGTATTTTTAGTTTTGTGGGATTTTGCTGTTGTTGTTGTTGTTGTTGACTTGTTCTTATTATCAATACTTTGTGCACTGTATAGATCCAGGTTTTCTAAACTGGCCTGTTGGAACATCAGTGTCCCACAGTTGTTGTTAGTTAGAGTGGACGTCATATAAGTATCTATGTGGCCTAAAAACCATGGCAAACTCTGGGTTTACCGTGAGTAAGTTGCTTTCTTTGAGCATTTCCTCAGAGCCTATACTACGCTAATGTGCAACATGCAGTTTCAAAGAGTGGCCTCTAGTATGTAGGATTCCCCAAACTTAACTTAGCCCTTAAGAAAATATCTGTTAGCATCTCATGACGCTAGCATATAACCATCTAAACCAGATTTTCCCCATCGACTGTGGAGATGCTTCTCCACTACCACCTGTCTTCCTCTGCCATATATGATATCCACCCTGTGATCCAGTTTACAACTTTGTTTGTTTTCGCTAAACAGTGTTGCTCTCTAATCTCAAATTTCAAAATACTTCTCTTGTGGTCAGGTGTTGCCTGAAACCTCCTTCTCAGTTTTCTGTGATACATGTTGTCACTTTCCAGGAGCCCCCACCTCTGGTGTCATCAGCTGAAATCCAGAATATCAAATTCTGAGCTTTGACACCATCTGTGTGACCAGCTGCTCCCTTCCTATATACCCTGGCTTCTTTTCCAGAGTTATAATCATCAGCTGGAAGAGTTGAAAAGCAGCAGCTGAGTCCCCAGGTTTTAAGTTTCTTGCCCAGGCCTGCACGGGAACTGGTACTACTTTCTGGTTATTCGCTGGCTATGAGATTGTACCTTGCTTTTCTCTAAACTTTTTGAAATCTCCTTTCCTAATGTCGGCAACTTCTCCTTAGCTGTTATTGACTTTAAGTGACAAGTATCTTTTACCCCAGGTTTCTTAGCATGCCATTTGTCATATGTCAAATGCATGTTCTGAAGAGCATCATACTCCCTATTAGCTATGGAAGGGTATATAC